ACGCGAGCAACTCACGTAGGTGAACATTATCGCGTAATGAGTCATTCGCAATCGCTATTATAGAGCGCGTAGCTCGCGCAAGCTCGACGAATTATTAATTTTTAATCACGATCATATCCGGGCCGCAGAATCAGCAGCAGCAGCAGCTTTATATATATATATATATATATATATATTATATAGCCGAAGCAGCGACGCAAAACGACGAAATCCGAGCGCATTTAGCGAATTATTCCCCGACTCTATAGTTTAACGGGAGTTTAGAGAACTGCGTGTGGCAGCGATATACGTATAGGTATAATGTGGCGCGGGGCGTCGCGTAATCGTCCTCGGGAATCTCGAGCTCGAATTATAATCCTCGCGCTAGCTAGCTCGTGGCAGGCGACTGTCATATTATATATATAGAGCCGCAAGCTCGAAAGAGAGATACACGCGAGCTGTGTCAGAGTTAAAGCTCGAGTGCGAGCTCGTAACGCTAACGTAAAATATCAATATAAAGTATTTGTTGTAGACTGCGGTATATTTGCCAAATCGCGATAACTCAGCTAGATCGTTACGACTTTAAAATCAATCTGCCATTTAATCGTAAATAAGCTCTCAGTAAATTATACGCTATTATTGTTTTTTGTGACAGAGAAAGTGAGCAGGAAAATAGGCGCGTATCCCCCATCGGCTCTATGCAGCAAAGTTCCACCGCTGCAGTGATATTAGTATTCACTCGCTCGTGTTCGCCGCAAACGAGATCTCTCTCGAGCGTCGTGTAGTACAAGGATCGGCTCGCGTAGCGTATTACGGTATATCGTGAACCCTCCCACGGCACACACGCACACACACACGACTGCAAGCACGTATATAGATATCAGCTACGAGATTTGGCGGGCGTGCATCGAAACGAACGCTCCTGTAGGATATAAAAATCCTCAACCTCCTCCTCTCGGTATACCTACGTGTGCCGGTCTATTATACGAGCGAGACATTTCGTAAAAGTATTGAATCTCCGAAATTTGTAAGGCTTACGTATGGCTCCGCGTGTATTACGTCGCTGCTTCATGAGCGTACAGCAGGCGCATAAACCGAAAGGGCTGGATAAATATGATTAAATGGCTAAACGCGGCTGTATATAATACGCGTATAGACCGCAAGGGAGTCTACTCAGGGCTGCGCAGATAGAGTCATGTGTGCTACATTGGCTCTGCCAGCTCGACAGCTCTCCAACTCAGCCAGCCGCACATGCACACATGCACACATGCACACACGCGCGTGTCGATATTTGATTTATACCCGATAGCGATAGGGCATACACGCGCCTGCTGTGCTACACATACACGATAGCTATCCGCAAGCACTGCTCTCTTTCTCGCGAGCGCCTATATGACTCTATGTCTAGAATATATTGAAGGCACGTATTAGTCGTATCCTATACCCGAAGCTCCGAAACACTACGTATCTCCGTGTGTGCATACATACGTGTGTGTATTAAAAAGTACATGCGGCTTGGATTCGTGCACCAATGTAGAGATGCATATCGAACTTGGCCTTTTCCGATGCTCGCTCGAGCTATCTGTTTTCTCTCTGCGCTGCACTTGCACAGCCTCTTTTGTCAAAGTTTTTATACATATATGATACAGCTGCTGACCGCGTGCATGCTCTGGTCTGAACTATTAGTGCACGCCAAGTGGACACACGATCTCTCTATACGTGACGCATTTAGAATTTTTCACGCATCGGACACACATAGAGTATATGTGGAGAATAAAGTTTTCATTTCGTTCGTCCACAATCTGGCTATGTATCTACATAGAGCGAAAAAACAGTACGGATCGTGCAAGATGAAGTCACAATAGCGCCGAGCTCGAGATCATGTTGCGGGGCATGCAAAAGCTTTGCGCGCTCGAGGGAAATTTAAAGCCAGCATTTACAGTACATTGAGTGCCGTATCGAAAAATCAGAATAGGCTTTATTTCGTTTAGGATTTGTGGATAACCAGAACTGAACAAAAATGAAACTAAATGTTCACACAAACATTGCGCGGAAAAAAGTTTGATATCGTGTTATACATAAAATAATAAAAATGATTTCAGAAGTCGAGAAATACGGATGAATTGCAAAAGTAAAATTGTATGCATCCATTCAATTTTTTTAATTTTATTTCATTGCATCTCAAAAATACTCGTCAGTATTTTACACTTGACTCAGATTGCTCGATTAACGATTTTCTTGATTATCATAATGATCCACCTATTTTTGTTTTAAAACAATAACATCCGGATAACTAAGACAAGTAATTGTTTATTTGCAACATTTTTAAGCAAAATGAAGAATAAGAAATAAAGAATATCTTCGTTAAGGTTTTTGACTTTTAATGAAATCCATTGAAATTGGATGCATAAATCAAAATAATAATAATAATATTAATAATGATAATTTTAATAATAATAACAATAATTTGGGTTGGAAAATGAATAATTACAAATAATTGAATCCCTTTATATTGATTCATAAATTATTATGCTCCATGACCTAAAAATATACGAAAATGTAATAAGCTCCATCTACTCGAAATTTCTCATCATTTCGACGAACTAACGGAAATACTAGAGGTGCTATGAATTTAATACTTGCCCCTACGGATTTGGCATCCTCTTGTCGGACGCTCAAAAAATTATATCAAATCAAGCAACAAAATAAACTATTTTACTACGCGAAGGCAAACAAACTCTCATAGCCACGGAACATTATTATGATTTTAATTTTATGTTCGAAAATAGTATTATTATAGACATTGTAAACCAATACAATCTGCTATTACTTAAAGTCTCTCTACATATAATACACAAATCGTGGATAACAATGTTCATTAATTCAATAGGTACAAGAGCTTGTTAATAAGCTAAATCCTATTTTCTGTTTATTTTCGTTATTGTGTAATGCCCTTTGTATTAATTATAATCTATTTTGAATGGCAATAGGCTTATTCAAAATAGATACAACTTTGTATTTCTCCGGTTTATTTGGCATTGATTTACCTCACTACAGCAGCATTAAGTTTGAAGCTTGATAAGGTGCCTCATGGAGATTGAATGGATGATAACTCTATCGTTAAATTAGCCAAAAATGTTCAATTCCAAACATAGCTAGTTATAGTTTTTAAGTTAATTTTTTTTACATAAAATTAAATAAATTAAAAATGTTAGATTGGAATTACGAGACAAATACAACTCGCAATAGTCTGATTTTAAGACAAACGTACAAGGCACAAGTAGAAAGTAAAAAATATCATCTTTCAGCAGCATTGTCTTATATTGCGCTCACGTTAAAACTTTTCGATTGTCGCTCTCGGGTTGGGTAAATTCAACCTTTGACGTATAATGATTAATTAAGGGAAACACGCCAAACTCGAATGAATATAACAGCGTCGAAAGGAGACACCGACTGATTAAACACCTTGACAACTTGGCGTCTCACGCTGCGTGTATAGCTCGCATAATACTGTCAAGCTCGAGCTGTGCGGCTGCTCCTGCCACGAGTACTCCTTTCCCCATGTGTACACACACACACACACACACACACACACATTCGACACAATATTCGCGTTATACGTACAGGTGTCATTCGCAAAATATATGTGGCAATAAAAGTTGCAGCCGCACCATGCACTTTAGGCCGCGCGAGCTTGTGTGAAGCACACCCACTTGTATAATATACTGCGTGTATTACGTTTCATTGTTACCTTATATATCTGGCGTAAAAGGCCGTATATAGATGTGTTAGGAATCCACTCCAGCGCTTCGGCGTGGATATACAAGAAAACACGTTTTTATCTATAATACGAGCTCGCCCGTATAATAATTCTTCAGGCAGCCATATTTTCTAGCTTTATGCACTCTCGGGGGGTGGTGTGCAGTATAGGTGTGCACTTTGTGACGCGCTACAAGTGCACCACGTCGATGTGTACGTACGTACATGCGTATGAATGCACGAAAAGCCGTAGTAGTTGCAGGAGCAGCAGCAGCAGCGACGGTGGCACGAGATCCCAAACTGTCCGCCAAGTTATATACATTCGTAACGTCAAACTCGACTAACTTGCAGCTCTCCGAGGGCCGCCTTTATTCAAAATACTGCCTCAATGTGCATCTATACATATACATCTATACGGGGACGGTAGTGGCGCGTACTTGGAAATTCTGAAACTATAATATTTTGGTCAATTGGATTCGTGACAGAGAAGCGAGAGGGCAGGCTATGTACATGTAGGCAGTTGTAAAGGCTATATAAAGTTTGTTGAGAGCTGAAATTACATGTCCACGCGCGGGGGCAATTGGAAAATTTCAACGCCCTTTAGTACACATATACTGATTGAAAAGAAGGAGTACATCGAGGTCTCGATCGAGCGGCCGATGTTCAATCCTCGAGTACTTCCGATTGCTCCGCCTCCATTATATATTACATTACCGAGATGTGCATGATGCATAAATGAGAGTAATTTTTGCTTTTCTAGTTAATAATTATACTCACTGCACAGTGCTGGATTTATGTTCTCGCCTGTAATGGTGCAAATGCACACTGTAAACGCGCTTAGTCGCGAGTGCCGTCCGACGCATGATTATGGGTGAGTGATCCGACAACCGCGCAATATTGCATCGAAGCCATAGATAATTATTATGGGCTCGATGGACGATCGACGGTTTCGGTCAAAATTACTTGGCCACAGGTGGCCTGAATGACGTACGTGTGCAGTCAGCATGATGTTGGAAAAATCACGCACGCTTCGCTGCCATTCTCTTGCTGCTCTAATAGTGACAAGCGGCAATGTTTTTTTAACTATGTAAACTTTTCGCTAGCGATTGAATTATAAAAAAAAACATCGTCCAATCTCTAAACAAAGCCTCAATTGAAAGTAAATAACTCAAACACATGTTTTATAATCAAGTTTTTTCGCGATGCAGAGTTTGCAAAGATAGCTCGTCATAATGTAATATAATATCTCTTGTAATTTGCAGGTACCGCAGCTGCTTTAGATAAAAAGTGCAGGACAGCAGCGCAGCAGAGTGGATAAGAGCCGAGGGACCGCCAGTAGGCGCTTTTGACAGCTGCGCCGCTGTATCCAGTCGCCGAATATGAAGCGCCCGTGGCTGCTGCTAGCTTTACTCGCACTACTGCAGGCGTCACCGTCGAGGAGCGACGACGACGACGAGCATTACAAGCCTGGTATGCAACTCAACGTTTTTTTTCATATCACTAATCGCATCGTGGGGGGTTTAATCGCTGATAAAGGAGAATTATATCTAAGGACACACTGGGGTGGTAAGAGAGAAAAAAGACAGAAGCTATCGAGGAGAGAGCAATATTGTTTTTTCTCGTTCAAGTTAGCTCGAGTACCATAAGTACCATAGATACAGCTTGTAAGCAGTTTATTTTTTACGATAGAATCGTCGAAATGACACGAGCAGTGCAACCCGTGCACGTTATAGAATATATATATGAACCAGCGCGTTGTAGCTACAGCCAGCAGTATGTATATAGCGCGCGAGGCTGCATTCGAGATATTAGCCTTCCCTGCGAAAAGCAGCAAACGATATTACACAAGCGAGCGTAAAATCTAATTTTCCTCTTGCTTTCCTTCATTTCTAATAATGCTCTTGCCTCTTTCGCTCGCCGTCCCGTCGTGTATACGTACACTCATACTTTCCTGCGTATAATAATATATACGAGCAGATACAACTAGGTATAAGTACGCGCGCGCGTTAACTCATACATCTATTATCGTTATCGTGAATTTCTTAGCGGCGAGCGCAGAAAAAAGAAGGCCTGGCCTGATGGGCTCTTAAATGCGCGATGAAAAATGCACGACGTTAGTTTTCCTTCGAAATCGTGCGGCTCGCGATCCCCGCGTAGTAGTTATATGGCAGATCGGAGATGAGAATTTTCACTTCGTAAAAAAGGAGCAAGAGGAAAAAAGAGGAAGAAAAAGAAACGAATCAAGCTGAGAGCGAAGAAAATTATTTAGTTAGTTTCGAAATACTTAAACACGTTCAATTAAACTTTTTTACTCGAAGATTGCCTTCGCCTATCTTATACCCCCTTCTAACTCGCAAGTTAGTTTCAATTGTTGCGCGTCGAACTTCGTTATACAAGAATTACTAGTTCATCGAGTGGCTGAAAGTTCGTTTTCTTTTTCTAACATACACACTCACACGTAGACTTTTGTACGCGCAGGGAAGAGAACGAGCGCGCGGCACGTTTCATCAGTGCAGTATTTGGATTTAATAAAAATTTTTTTTTTTCATCATCTTTTTGATTGTGGAAAATTAGATATGAGATACGACGCGACGTGATCAACGCTCAAAACGTTATTATTGGAAATGGAGAACTTTACAGTCTCGGCTTACAAAGTGACTCTTGACAATTTAATAATGAAAAATGTCAACTGTTTCATATTCACTATTCCGCTTAACGTTACCGTATGCCATTTATCGCACTGGTCTCCATATTTGATAAGAATTTTACTTTTCGCAGTGAAATATTCTAGTCATTGTGTGACATTTGTTCCCTAGAAAAAAATTTTTCAGTTCATTTTAGCGCAATAATGATGATGGATACATTTTTTCTCCTCGTTGAAACAATTGAATAGGCTTTAAAAATGTAATGACTTTTGCAGAAAATTTTACTTGTTTGTTTAGATTCGCAAGTCGGTTTGATTCCTGTACATATGAAAAACAGTAAAAAAAAAAATACCTAAGAAAAGAAATATAAAAAATATTTTGTCAACAAAAGTTTTCAAATCATTGAGATACAGATCTTTCAAAGGAGCAAATCGACAAAAGCATCTGGTAATAAAAGACAAGCGTGAACGCGAGGCAACGTTGCTTTTTCTTCTCGCTTCTCTTCCTTCTTTTTCTTTTCTCTCTCTCTCTCTTTCTTTTTTTTTTCTCTACCTGGCAACGGAACTGGACAAACATTTCACGAACTGCAAACATTATCAGCTGACTTTTGTGTTTATACATGGACTTTCAATCCTCTTTTCAAGATTTACACAGTCGCGCTGCAGGCGTCGAGTCCAAGTTATATATACACGGTGTATACATTCGAATAATGAGGATAAGGCGATTCAGCTCGGAGGATTGAGAACGTCGCGGAGAAATAGGAACGAGGGGGGTGATAATACAAGTGTCGGCATTTACGAAACAGAACTACGAAAGATAAATCGATTGTCTCTCGCACGCGTAAGAGTGGAAAAGAGTTACTCGATAGTTTGGCAAAGAGGGAGGCCAGCGAGCTCGAGCGATAGGAAATGAAAAAGAAGAAGGCAGAAAGGGAAGGAGAGGGAGAGCGCGCGAACGAAAAGAAAAAAAAAACATTCGCAAAAACTGCAAAAAAAAGAGTAAGAAAGAAGAGGAGACCGAGTTTGGACCGTTTCTCTTTCAGTACCTAAATTATACGGCGACAGAATTCCCAGGAGGGTGCTCGATCCCAGCGACAAGAAAGTCCAGAGAAAAATCGTCCTTTATCACAACTTCTTCCGGAGCCGCGTCGATCCGCCAGCCGCCAACATGCTCGTCATGGTAAGCCAAAAAGATTGTTTCTTTCTCCCTTTCTCAACCCTTTCCCCCTTCCACATTCCGGTGTCATATTTTTTACGATACGTCAGATTCGACAAAGAAAGAATCCGCCCAAATACTTCATACACACTTGCACATACACACATACAAGCAGGCCACGAGAGTAATTGAATTCATAACTGGGACGGGATATAGATGTACATTGAATAATACATTATAGAGGCTTAGAAAGTTATACATAAGTCTAAAAACAGAGTTATATGCAGCCGTGGGCCGGCGTAGAATAGGATATATCAAAAAGGAGAAAAAGCCGCGGGAGAATAAGAAGAAAGATTTAAACTTTTTCGAAACTCAATTCGAACTCCTTTCCTGAGCATTTAAGTCACCATATAACGTAAAGTTTTACATACACACATTTGCACTCCCACGCACACAGCCTCGCGTACAGTAGTATACAGCAAAAAAGTTATTTACATTGATACGCTAGCAATTTTTTAGCTCCCAGAATTCTCTCGGGCCAGTTATTTTTCAGTTCATTTTTCAATAAACCCTTTCGAAACGGTTCAGCAGCAGCAGCGCACGTGTAAATAGCGGCCGATATCAAAAGTAATTAAAGCCTGCAGTGAGAGAGAGCTGGCAAAGCTCGATCGCGCGTAAACTTCGTCGAATGAATTTTCCATAATGCTCGGGTAAATTTTTTATTCCGGAGAGCAGTCCCTGCTGCGCGCTACAGCTGCGCTGTATATAGCGCGTAAGACGCTAGACTTGGCGCACGAGTTAAAAGCGGAATTTATGAAGAGTCTCGCGGGCCGCTCCGAACTCCATAATACATAGATATAGTCGAGCGAGTAATTTTAACCCTCTCGCGCGCGGCGCACGGCTCTGCTCGTGAGCTCCGCCGAGTGTGTGTATATAAAATCTTGCCTTATACGCGAGGGCGAAGGCGCGTGCAATTACATAAAGTTAGGGATATAGTTGCTGCGGGGGAGAGCACTCGCTGCTGCTGCTGCTGCTGCTGCTGCGCTGGTTGACTTTCGAGATTTGTCATTCGCGCGCGAGCCGATCTCTGTATATACCGCAGGCACCAAAGTTTCATTCAACTTTGCTACGTTGCGTGCAGCGGTGTAATATAAGCCGCGGCCGCGGCGCAAAAGTCTAATCGTAAATCTCGTTATTTGGTGATAAGCCACGATTCCCGGATAAACGCTCTGGCTGCGCTATCCCCCGCTCGAAATACATTCGAGTCGAGATTTGTGAGAGAAACCTGCCCGCGAGAAATGTATTTGTAAAGTCGCGAGAGCAAAGTTCGCGCGGGCTTTATGTTTAAGTTTCCGTTACTCGCTACGAGCTGTATCGGCCCGCTTGAAATATCTCACTTCTCCTGCTAATAATACCTCTTCCGGCGCCCTTTATAATTTGTATTTTACCTACTCGTAATTCGCGTATACTAGAACAGTAGGTGTTGCTTCGCGGTAATGCAGCAGCCGACGCGCAGGCCACGTGATACTTTATCCTGCATTGGGAAATTTTCCATTTAGAGCTTCTATATTTGGGACATAGTGCAATATAGGATATATCATAGGTGCGCAAAAATGCAATTCTTTGGTACACGCGCACATACAAAATGAGGCAGCCGCCAACGGGCTGCTGGGTGGCAAGCGCATTTCGTCGAATCGAATTTTCAATACGTTTTTGCGAGTGTAAAACTGTCGATAGCAATAATACCGCATCTTCTTTTCACAAATCCATTGGAATAGCGTCGACGGCGCGGGGCTCTCGGAGTTGGCGCGCGAGCTTTTTTCTCCGTGCGCATCAGCTGCGAGCGCTTCGCCATTTCTTCTTTTTTTTCGTAAAAGACTTACTTATACGTATTACTTTATACACCTTGCCGTAGCACATCACACACGTACACACACACACACTGCTTAGCTTGGCATATATATACAGGAGGTAAATCCCCGAAGACCTTAACCAGCAACGCACATATCCTTGGCGCGCGAGCTTGCGGGGGTGACTTTGAACGCGCCCCCCGAGGGAAACTTATCTCCTTTTTCTCGTTGGGGCGCGGCTGCTTTATATTTGTGTATCTATATAACAACAGTGGCAACAATCGAGATAAACAAAAAACCTCGTAGTCGCTTGTTTGCGTTGGCTTATTTTTCCTTTTTCCCCGTTCTCTTTATACCTATATAGCACCCCCTCATGTCGGCTCTGAGCAAACGCATAAAGTCGAGGGACTGCTACTCGTGAGAGCTACTACTATACTCGTTTCTTTTTTTTTTCGTTCCATTTTAATTCGCAGAAGTGGCATTCCGGAGCGGCTAAGGCAGCGCAGAAATGGGCCGAGGAGTGTTACGCGTTGACGCACGACAATGCAACTGGTTTGCATACCGACGCTTTCGGAGGCTGCGGTCAAAACATCTTTATCTCGACGGCGCAGATGCCCTGGTAAGTAATTTTGCCTCGTGCCATCTCGCGCCCGGAGCTGAAATTTGCAGGACGCGCGAGCGAGCGAGCTCTAATTAACGCGGTTAGTAGCGAGGAACATTTACAAACGAGAGCGAGCGTCTCGCGCGATTGTGGTTGGCAGGCTGGAGCGCGCAGCCTTTGCTGCACCGGCACATAATGACATAACGGCTCCCTTCGGATGCGAGCCAGTGGCGCAGGAGGCAGCAACGCAGCAACCAAGTCGATTTTTCGCCTTAATTGTTCAGAGTTTGATTTCGGTTTATATAAAAACGTAGCGAAAGCAACATTCAATTACAGCGCGCGTACGACGCAATTAAAGCTTGTTTATATTAACGGAAAGCTCGTGGCTTATGTTGGAAAACAATTGCGGCATCGAAAGCTTGCACGTACGTTTCGATTCGAAGCGCAAAACTTCCCTGAAAAAGTCACTCTCGGTGTCTGCAAAATAATGCATGTTATGACTCGTGTGTGTGTGTTTATAGCGAACATGCAAGCTCCAGAACGCGAAAATTAGTTTCTATGTAACCAGCAGTGGAAATCCGTCGAGCAGATTTAATCGATCGTCTTGTTACACGAGCGCGCCACACTGCTCGACGTTTGCATGCTAATGAATCTTGCTGCAATTACCAAACTCTTCTCTCTCTCTCTCTCGCTCGCTCACTCACTGCCGAAGCTTATCGCTCCAACGAGTACGTATAATCTCGATAAATGAGCTTTAATGCATTGTCAATTATTGAAACGGATCGGGAGAGAAAAGAAAGAGAAAGAAATTACCAACTCGAGCGCGTCAATTATGAGTCACTAATATGTGACCTAAATTTTTTTCAACTCGGCGTCGAGCAGATTCGTGCGCGCCCGTGTGCGGGTGCAAATGTAGTGGGAGAGAAAGAAATGAAACGTCAAGGAGTACGCTGCAAGCTCCGCGCACGAGGCTCTATACTGGAAGGCTTGAACGCGCGCGTGACACTTATGTACATGTGTGTGCTGCGCGACGTGGAAACCGAACATTTAATCTCGAGCACACAGATACACGCACGCCTCGCGCAGCTATACGTACATGTGCCATACCACCGCTGTGGCTAGAGATTTTGAATCCCAATGAATCTTGGCTTACAGCCAGAATCCTTGGCATTATGTGTGCTTCACTCTCTGCCGGCGAGGTGTAGCACGCGCGCGTATACGTACACAAGCCAACGAGCTGCAGCCTCGAGGCAACAAAAATGTTAATCTTTCTGTATATATAATATTACAGCTGGCTTCTACGTGTGTATTATATATGAAATTATTTTCACGCTAAAAAATGTCCATTGTGTGTGTGCCACCGTGTCCTGGGATATTTCGGTTTCTACGCTCTTACTGCTTTGCTGAAATATTTTGTTTTTATTTTACAACCTAGTTGAGAACTGCACTTTGCGAGTTTCCCGCTCTGATTTCGGTATTACTTTCGTCAATTAATTATTGAACGATATGGAAGCTTTATATGCAATATGCATCGTATCGACAAGTCAATCAAAACAGAATAACAAAAAAAAGATAATAATAATAATAATAATAATAACGTTGAGCTGCTCGATCGATTAATTTACGCTTTCAGGAAAGTTTCGAATATTCAATATCATAGGCGTAAAGTAGATAGTTCTGCTGTTATTAATTTTAATGAAGAAACTTCCAACATACTTCCAGGATCGTAAAAGCTTCTTTCTCGATATATATACTCGAGCACAGACACGCACAAAGAGCAGCTACTAACGCGTACAGACATGCACACATGTGCATTTGCGGAGAATGTGGCTGAAGCACAACTTTGGCTTGCTACTGCTGCTGCCTTTGCGAACTTTGTCAAACCGACGGCATATAATACGATCGCGACCAACTCGTAATTTACCCGTGATAAATATTTGCTCTCATTATCGATGTATCGAGTGCGTATATATACTCAAAGTATAGACGATACGTATGTATAGTTTTAAAAATACATTGTACAATATATTATAACGAGTGGAGTATATCTGCTGCATACTTAATGAAGCGGCTCTCGGCCGCGACGACACAAGTTGGGAAAACTCGACGCCGATTCGTTCGGATTCGCAGCCGAGAGCCGCTCAATGATCAATAAATTAATTGCAATAATTCCGTACGTGAGCTGAGTTATAACACGAGCTCGTTGCAGGTTCTTCGCCATAAAGACGTGGTTCTCGGAGGAGTCGCTGTTCAAATACGGCTCCCAGGAGCACAATGAGCTGGGCAAGGTCGGCCATTACACGCAGATGGTCTGGGCGACGAGTCATCACGTCGGCTGCGGTTGGGCCGAGTGCGACGGCAAGCGCGGTCCCCGCGGTATTCCCTACTTCAGCTACGTCTGCAACTACTGTCCAGCGTGAGTTCTCAGCTTCCACTTCACCATCTCGCGCTCTCCCGATACGTGCGGAGCGCGCCCTTTTTTATATTTAATTTTTTTTCACTCGCTCTTCTCTTTCGTTCCGTTTTTCGCCTTCTTTCTACGACCTCGATATTGCATTATATATCTTTTGTCCGGTGGACGCGGGGTATAATTGTTTTTCATTAATAATTCAACTGGATTGTCTATCTGTAAAAGTCGCACTTCAATTACCCTTAATTCGCTTCTTTTTTCCGAACGCTTCCTTTTGTACGTTCGAATAATTAATAAATGAAAATCTCGACTCATGTTTCAATCGCGTTATGATTAAAAAAAAAGTCGCCAGCATCCTCGTAGCTATTGATTTTTTTTATTGAACGTGTAGGGGCAACCGGGAGGACTTGCTGTCGACCCCGTACGAGATCGGCGATAGCTGCTCGGCCTGTCCAGGCGACTGCCGACTCGGCAAGCTCTGCAAGAACTCGTGTCCTTGGGCGGACCTCTGGGCGAACTGCCGACAGCTGCACGACACGTGGCCCGGCTGGCTCTGCGACTCGGACACTGAGCAGGGCCGCGAGAGGCGCAAATTCTGCCGCGCCACCTGCCACTGCCGTGGAAAAATCTTCTAAATCGTTCGTAAGCGCGACCCTGCCGCGTGACAACTGTGAGATACTTATAAATTATATAAATATTAAATTATAAGTTTGAGATGTAATAGCTGTAGTAGTGAATAAGTCAAGACGTAACTACACCCACCCACCTAAACATCACCACGTTGACAGATGCACTTACTGCATTCGTACCGCCAAAACATTTATCTCTTGTACATAAGATCTATAAATGACAATTAATATGGATTATTATTGCAATTGATGCGATAATGAAATAATGATAATGATGATGATGATGATTGAGTGTAATGGGATATCGTGGTCCGGATGGATTTTTTCATTTCAGAGTAATGATCGATTGAATTTCGACAAAACAGATTCCATTTCTCACCCTCTCTCTCTCTTTCTCTCGGTATGGTTTGCAATCACGCGATACAGGGTTAATAATTTAAATGGACTATTTCGCATGTTATAACGTACCGACACGCTGATAAATTGAAATATTTTCAACCGACATTGTGTAAACATATAACACCGAAGTACAAAAGCGTATTCAAAGTAAGAAACGTTGATCGAAAAATCTTACCGGAAAAGAGGATACAATTTCACCTTCGCCGATGTATCTTTATTATATAGATACATGTAAAATAGCAAACTGCATTATTAGCATAACAAGCCGCTTCTGCTTCTTCCTTTTTTTTTCTCAAGTACGCGCGTATAATAGGTATATGAAAAATTCCCTCAAGAAGTTGGCCCGAAGATATGTTAATGAAGTGTGTGTACAACGTCGAATCTCGCAAGTACATGCCTATAGGCATGCAGCAGAGAAGGAAGCGAGGCTGAAAGAAGGAGATGTGCGCGCGCGCGCGTGTGTATAGTTGAATCGGCGAATAAGGTACTACACCCTATTCCGCGATGTTCGGCAACTCCTTTACATTCTCACTCTTATATACCTTGGGGTAGGTACACACACACACATACACGGATGAGCGGGACAAGAAGAAATAGATGTACATACACAGATATACGTGTGTACACGGACACTTGCTTGTTTGAGAATAAGAGAAGCAGCTAGCAGTAGGCCACTATACATGTACGTTACTGTACCCAAGGCTTGTAGGAGCTCCTCTTGACCCCGCATAGTTTCTTGTAGTATTCGAGTTTTACCCAGGCTCTATATATACAGAAAGTGCACGTATAGCTATATATACGTATATGGTAGAGTTAGGCACTTTAAGAGGCGGACGAAGACGACGACGACGACTGGTTAAACCTCGAGATTTTACTCTGTGTTCGCGTGTATATGTACAAAGGGCGTGGACGCGCCGACTTCCGAGTGTTTCGTGTGCAACATACACGCGAACACGAACGAGCTGACGGATAGACTCACACACAAATGCACCGAATCCACAGCTGCAGATATCTCTCTGTACACGATATATACTGTACACCTTTTGTATAATATAGAGTTTACTTGGCCAATCACTGCTAAGAGGGAGAGATAGCTGGCCGCGAATTATTCGTCGCTACCACGTCGACTTTTAAGATGTTGCACGCTGCACTTTCGACCTGACCTCCTCCTCCCCGCGCTCACTTAAACTTGTACATAAAGCCGGGATATATTATCTTAGTTTCTGCACCGCGACTAAGAGAGAGAGAGAGAGAGAGACATAGAGATCGAGAGTTGGAGTTTATAAAGTTGAATCAAATGATTTGTACTTCGGGACACTAATACACACAGACACATAGACACGTTTATTCACACGGGTGCAGAAACAGCGACAGCAGTAATACAGCAGAAGGACACTGCTCAATTGATGGAACGGAATGAAATTAGAAGATATTTTAAAATATCCCACCCTACAACGATTGCAGTAAGTTTTGAGTAGCACCCGCATAATAACAAACTTTTTTTAAAAACTAACTCAACAACTCAAGGCCGTTGCTACTGCACTTATACGTGCATATTTACGTATTGTCAACGACATTTATAAATAAACGAGACAATTTTGGCAGATAGACTTGTATATCTCTTCTCCGAAACGTGAAAAATATCTGTGCTGTACAATGTATATTTTTGATCGATTCGAACGACTCGATGCATCATTGTAAATATTTACCATTATTTCGTCTCTATTGGCTTTTTTTAGATAATAGCAGATCGATACGTCGTTGCATCGCTGTATTGAATTATTAGCGTTTATACGTAGCATTGTAAAAGACAAATATAGCAGCTTGCTTTGGCGAACCAAAAGTCACGAAGAAAAAATGAATTAACTACTTAAATTTTATGTGTATATAACGTTCTGAACTCCAGTACCGAGAACAAAAGACGCTAAAAATGTTGAACAGTTACATAATTATATATTCTGCAGGTAAAACATGCATGATAAGTATATTTATGGAAAACAAACGATATATTTTAAACGAGTTTTTATTCGCTACATCTGCTGGGAAAAATTTTGTCAACAATAAGAAAAAAATGAGTATAGGATTTTTCACACTCTAATCTACAAATTAATAATTATACATGAAAACAAATATAAATTATATATTATACATCTATATTCATTGAATTGTAAAAATAAAAAAATGAAAATAAATTGTATAAAATGACAAACGTATAACATGGCGTTACAGCCGAGTGTCCATTATTTGTGTGAGCTTTACCTGAAAATATTACAATACCCATCTGACACTGCGACGTGAAAAAAATTCTCCCATATTATACTCTTGAAACGTTTTCATCAAAATTCACGAGAACGAAATAACTTCTCGCTGGATTTAGCAATAAACAGTGCAGTTTATTTATCGCGTTTACTATAACCCTCCTCAACCCATTCAAATGCATGAGAAAAAGAGAGAGATTCAGAGAGAAATATATAAAGCATTCGAGTACTCCGCTATTACGAGTTTAAAGTCAGTCTATCCGCTGTCTTCTTAATGCCTTGCCCTGTGTTTATATACATATACATCTCTGCAGCCCATATACGAGAAAAGCGGAAAGCAACGAAAAAAAGTTAAACGCGTATTAGAATTTCTTTTCTTCGAGCGAAATGGCATAGTTCTTGGCTCTTCTGGGTTGAAACGAAAACTACATTTGACGCGATCGCGCAGTCCGACGCAGCAGCAGCAGCAGCAGCCGTAGCACGCCTTCGAGGGAAAAAGCCTCATCTGCCTGAAGAAAGAGAAATTCTCGAAATTTTTGAAAACACGTCTATCTGTTATATGACACAAAGAGCACAACACAAACGTCTTAGCGCCCTTGAGCTTGTGTGACACGGAGAACGAAAATCCACCATAAAACGCTTAGAGCTTGTAAGCGAGAGAGAAAGAGAGAGAAAGAGATGTATAAAAAAAGAAAGTATAAAAAAAACAAGGCGAGAGAGACTCGAGTCGAAAACGACGACTGGCCTGAAACGCGCTTGCCAGCCGACGACGAGTGTCTTGCAACTGCAGCTCTGTACACTAAAACGAGAATATTACATTTTTAAATCTTAGATTATAAAAATGGATACTCGAAAAAGACCTGCTGGGTGGATTGCTTTTTACGACTTTACGATGTAACGAGTGTATTTAGGTGAATAAAATGATGGATTTATTTTTCATAAAAAAAAAAACATCAACGCTATCTCGTGCCTACAATTATAAATTCGAAAAAATTGATTCAACGCTTTTACATGAATAAATAAAATGAAAAGTATCGCCTTTGTCCATAAATGCATAAATTTACTCGTAAAAATTTTACAATCAATATTACTCGATGATAATAAATAGTACTTGTAACGAACGAAAATCCATCACGAAATTAAACACCCTCGAAAGCTTGCAGTATGAAAAATCGCGCTGTAGAAATACACGTAGCGGGTCAGATAATGGTCACTGAACGTAATACAATGGCAAAACAATGAAATATCACAATACGGCTTTTCCAGAACGTTGAATAAAAAAAATGTAACTGCTCGCAATTGTTAAATTCAAATCGATGAAATTCGGCGAGCAAAAAAAAAAAAGAAAAAGAAAAAAGAAGAATAAAAAAATGTATAAAGTAAAAGGCGTCAAAAAAAGGTAAGAAAGCACGTCTGCAAGCGAGAGTCAAATTTTCGGAAAATTTCTATGAAGATGCTCTCTCTTTTTAGTAGTAGTAGGAGAAATGGCGTGGTAGAAATGCGATGAATTTCGCTGATGCACCCGCCAGTAGAGCACACACACAAGCTCTACATTGAAGCAGCAGCAGCAGCAGCACATGGCATAGTCACGCACATACAGAGCTTTTGCTCCGCGTGGCAGTCATGAGCGCTCACTCCTACACGTTCGCGCGCGACGTATGTATAACCAATCCTGCTCGAGTCAAGATCTTGAAGCACCAAAGTGAGGTATATACAAAGACTACGGTGTCTCTACTACTACCTACACTACCAGAAGCAGCAGCAGCAGCTTGCCTAAGCTGCAGAGCGGTGCGCACCGGCGGCGCTAATGGACTTTTAAAGCTCGCCGCCTCGTGTGCTCTATACTATTCTCTCTCTCTCTCCTCTCTCTCTTACTCTTCTTATACATCTATATATGAGTGTGTGTAATATAGCATGGGAGTAAGCTGGCCTGGAACAGCTACACCTCCTCCTCCTCCCATGACTGCGGTAGATTTTGCCCGATTGTTTGCGGCATCTGCGTTGGATTGCACCACCCTAGAGATGATGAAGGATAAGTACGTAGATATGTATATATAAATGTAATTCGGCAATTTCGGCTGCCATCTCTTTTCTCTTTTGTGACCAGCTGGATCGTTACATTATATACCGTTATACGTTTTTTCAATTAACGAAAATGTACGCATGCGTGCCCTACCATCAAGAGCCCTTTGATATTCGACGATTGCCTTCATCGAGAAACGTTCGCGAGCTTTTTCATATTGGATAAATACATGTTGGGGGAAAAAGTATTTTTTGTTTGCACATTCAAGCAGATATGAAAATTTTGCACTGGACAATTTTCGAGTAGTATTACAGCAAAAAAGTTATATCATTGGGCTGCGAATGTTCGTCGCTCTCTGTAAAACTTTTAATGCCGGAGCTTTATTTACTTATTTAACTAGGATTCTTAAAGT